TCAGAAACCCCTGGTCTGAGCAGAAAGTCACTTTTATCCAGAACCCAGCTAAAGCAACTTGTTCTACCCTGAGTGGTCACAAACACCCCCCCACCACATCTCTGTGTTGGGGGGAATGCAGGAAGTGGCTGTAGCTGTCTGTGTTCATCAACATATACCAGTCTGCGGCTGATCATACATTCCACACACCGGACCGACAGGACAGAGGACAGGGAGGGGAGGGGAGGGGGGGTCTCGAGGAAGGTACATTCAGGTCAATTCAATTCAAAGCCAATGTGACAAGCTAATTTTCCAGCCCGGTCATCTGGAGCGAGGGATACACCAGGAGGGAAGAGAAAGTGTGTGTGTGCGTGGGTTAAGAAAGGAGATGTACCAGAGATGAGGGGACAGGACACACACACACCTCCATGAGCCCTTCTTGCTCAGTCTCCATCTCAAGCAAAGCGCAACATAAAGCTGTGCGTGCGTGCACACTGTTAGTGTGATTACTACGAGTCCAGGTTTTACAACAATGATTTCCATACATTCATTTATTTGTGCCAGACTGCCTCAATACCAACATTAGGCACCAAATATTGATCTTCTATAGTGGATATACTAATTCTAAAAATTAAAATCCTATTTCAATGTAGAGATGCTCGGTGCAATTTATTTGCTTTGCCCCTCCTTGCCCCGCTCTACAGACCGGCCTGTGAACAACACCCACTCTCCTTCCACACATTAAGTTACCATTAGTATTCAGCTCCAAAAGTCAAACCATCTATATGTATAGATAATGGCACACACAAGATCTGAGAACATGTTAGAAAAACCTCTTGATAAAATCTGTATCCATCAATATGCCTATTCATTAGGGGTGTAGAGGTATCCATGTTCGTCCCGAACCATGACTGTTTGCCAGCCGCCCTTAAACAACAAATGAAGAACAAGAAGAAAACACAACAAAACGAACAAAATACAAGAAGAAGAAAAGTTAGTATGGCGATTTCAGATAACACACAGGAGCTAGAACCCACCTGCTTCTTTTAAATCAGCTGTGTGGGAACATTTCGGGTTCCCTGTGGACTACAACAGCGATGGAGTGCGAGTGGTGGATCGGACGAGGACGGTGTGTCGGCGCTGTTCTACAGCGGTGCGGTATGCTAATGGTAACACACGCCAAACATGCTAAATCATATCAGAAGGCATCACCCAGATTTGCCAATCACCGGAGCCCGGCAAAAGACAACAGCAGTTCAGCAGCTGATCCCCGCTGTTTTAAAGAAGCCAATAGACATGAGAGCCGTGAGACCAAAATAAATAACGGAAGCTTTTGGCATATGTTTTTCAACGGCTATGCGCTCTTGAAATACTTTCTTATTATTTATGATGTAATATTTTCAAGACATTCTTTTTAGTTTTACAGCTTGATGAAACCTTTTTGTTATAGCCATAATAGATAATCTGGCCATCTGAGTGTGTGTGGTACTGTTTGTGGTTTGTTTTTAACTGTGTAATACAGTTAATTATTCAAAATGTTGGTTCCTTATTTTTAAACTGAATTGCACTACTGTTCAACAATAAATAACAACAAACCTGGAATTATGCATTTGGGACTTTTTTTTAGCTTTTTCTTGTTGTACCGACCCCGTACCGAACCGTGACCCCCAAACCGAGGTATGTACCGAACCATGAATTCTGTGAACCGTTACACCCCTACTATTCATTAACATCATTAATGGTTTCTGCAGGATGTCCGCTGTGTATGATATGATGTCACAGCTGTGGGTCACTGAGGTCAGCTCCTATAGTTCATTCACATGAGACGCCAAGAAAATATGGGACAGTATGTGACACCCTTCAGGACCATAACACAACATTCAGACCATGCCACAGTGTGTGTGTGTGTGTGTGTGTGTGTGTGTGTGTGTGTGTGTGTGTGTGTGTGTGTGTGTGTGTGTGTGTGTGTGTGTGCTAACACTGCAATCAACATCAATTCGATGGACAGCAGTAGAGCATTTGAACCTGGAGCAGCACTCTTCCTCAGATCTCAGTGAGAGCAATTAATCAGGAACACAACATTGCCACCTAGTGAAGTCCACTCACATCGCATGGTAAAGTCATCTTCAAATAAAATGAGTCTCTAAAAAGCCTAACACGAAATCTGCCCTGATAACTTGTCAGGCAACACATCAATTCCCCTGCCAGTTCATCATCAAATTAAAACAAACACCTTGCAAATAAAAAGCATTGTTATATTAATTTCAGTGCTTTTGTTAACTAGTTAAGCCCGAAGGTCCCCCCAGTGGACCCCTCCCACAGTTTTTTGTTTCTCACATGTCTCAGGGCTTCTTAACATTTATGAAACTATTAATGTTTCAAACCCTTTTAAAAAGGTAAGAAACTCCGCTAACTGACAATAAGAACAATTGTTAGCTAAAAAAAACAAGTGTAATTCCAAGCCTTTGAATTAGCATTGAGCGAAAAAATGCTAACTAATGCTAACGATTTTTTACACAGAACTCACGGTAGAAATGCCCTTATTACTATCTTAACTGCACAAACAAGATATACGATTTAAAGCTGAGACTCCACAGATTCCACACATGTAATGTCATCACTGTACGACCTCGAATTCCTGGAGCTATCAGCCAGAAAAGAGAAAGTAAACAACATCCGGTTCCAAAAATATTACAATAATTACGTCTTACCTTTTTTGATTTGTGATCAAAAGTTGTGTACAATGGAATAAAAATGCATCTCAAGGTTAATCCAATGTCTTTGTGTCACGTAGAATTTTTTACTGATAATCAATCATCATATTTATGGCAATATACTCGGTATAAAGTATTGCCGTCCAGGCTTGCACTTTCAGATATGCTTCGTTTGCTTCTCTATTACGTCCGCTATGGTAATGTTTACGTAGATTTGGGAACTGCCCATCGATTCTATTGGTTCTGATGGTTAAGAAAAAGGTGTAAATCACACGAATCGACCAATGGGTTCCAGAGATATGGTCCTGCGTAAAGTATAAAGAATGCCAGCCAGCTTAAGTACATTACGCAGCCGACTTCATTTATTGTTTACAACGTAACGAAGCAGGAAATGCAGCAGGACCCAGAGCGCACGGAGCACAGAGCGGACAGCAGATAACGGAATTGCAGTTGTATTGCTTATAGATGATCAGAACATTTCAAAGGGGACACATCCCCATTGGATATTAATCTATGGATTAACTACATAATCGTTTTTATCGTTGTAATGCCATTGAAGACCAGTTTAGACCAGACAACGAGGAAGGTAAGTCATTGTTAGCCTAGCGCATGTTAGTACCACTTGTTTTGATGTACGTTTTTGTTGATAACGTCGCGAGTTTGTATCTTTCAGTGTTGAGGTGGGCACCGTTAGATTCTGTGTCTCCTTGCGATCATAAACAATGTGTTGGATGTGCAGCTAGGATAAGTAATAAGGGAGCGAGGAGTGATTTTCGGTGCAGTAATAGGTTAGCATTTTTCGCTCGGGGCTAATTCAGAGGATAACAGAGTAGGCCTATGTTTATTTTATTTTTTATTTTTTTCACAACAGTTGTATTTGGATTAAATGAATACCTATAGTGATAATTCAAAGTAATAAAATGATTTTTACGGTGAAAAAGTTCAAATGGAACCGATGGTTCCCAAATTACCCAGAGGTGAGTCCGCTTGGACTTTATTTTTCTAAATCTCTCTAAAAAGGTCAAATTTAACTTGTTTTGCATCAATCTTGATACAGGGTACTTATTATATGTTATAGTTTGGATTCCTAAAGCTTTTAGTCTACTAACCCATCATTCAAGGGTGGTTTTCACTATAAGTAAAGGGCTTTTTTTAGGTGGACATTATAATTTACATGTTTTTACTATGTTCCATCTGAATTTACTTTAAAATAAAAACATCTATATTGATTCTGACACTTCTACATCCAACTCACAGATGTAACCTTGCTTTGAGAAAAATAATTATTAATTTACCCCTTTTAGAAGTGAAGATATATAATTTGTTGTGTTAGTGGCATTTTCGAGCCTGAAACCTGAAAAACAGGCTCAGGGCTTAACTGGTTAACAGGGCGTCAGAAAATGGAGTTCTGATCAAAGTGGAGCTGTCATTTTACCATGCTGCAGTTTAATAATTGGGACATTAGCATATTTTGAGATTATTATCCCACTATCTGTTGTCTGGTCCTGGTAACCAGTATTTCATCACATACCATAATCACTGTCTTCAGATCTCCATTGTGATGTGTGTCTTTGTTTGATCATGTGAGAAGTTCACAAACTAAATCAAACTGCTGATCTTGATTATGTAAATAGTTTCTCATACATTAAATTAAAATGTTCATATGCCGGGCAAAATCTAAGCAGAGGAAAGATACTGTATCAGTGACCACCATCCTCAGTTTAACAATAACAATATATCAGAGCATCTGTTCAGCTGTGCTCTGCCTCTTCTCCCTTTCTACAACTGAACCTTGCTTTTTTTCACATGTATTATTCCTGTTTCAATGGCCCCCCCCTGGACATGATGGAGAATTTAAGGCACGAGAGAGTACTATTCTCCATCTGTGCTGCTACATAAATGCGGGAGATTAAAGTCCAGGAGATCGCCCTCTACACTGAATCGGTACAATCCGCAACGGCAACCCAATTCAGTGAGGAGGGTGTAGGCCAGCGATGTACCCTGCGGGGTGGATGTAGCTTACACACCCTTTTGTTGTAGTTCGAGATCTAGAGCAACGTAGAGTAGTTCTGGATGTTGATAATAAAACCCAAATATTAGTGCCAGTAACACCCGTGCCAGGGAAAATTGTACTTATATAGTAGCTGGGGTAACAGGACGGCGTATGAACTGCTTATTGTCTTCTTTTGAATATCTCTTTCTGTCAGCTTATTTTCTGGGCTTCCATATGAATGCTCACCCAATAATTGGCTTATATTTCTATTTGATATCATCAAATGACTGAATTTACAGTATTCATGTGCCCACCTGTACCAGTTTGTAGAAGTAGGCGTATTGGCGCGCAGTGTTTTTATACTGGCTCAGGACGTCCTGCACCGCCTGTGTGCCCAGCAGCAGCTGCACCTCGTCCTGCTGGTAGAACAACGGGGTGTCGTACTCCTGAGGAAGACTCCGAATGTATGGCAGCCAGAATGAGTCCGAGTTGGCCCGCTCACACAGCAGGTGGAAGGCCAGCGTCACGTTGCCCATGGCCTGCAGGATCCGGTCCTGGCTATAGAGAGGACCTGAGGCAGAGAGATACAAATCAGTTCCAGGATACACTTTTCTCCAGAGTGCCGTGGTTCATTGTTTATTAATGTGGTTCAGCGGCATTTACCGACCGCTGCAGTGCTGCTCGTCCACGGGAGTTTAGTCTCCCGTTAACTCACGGCAGAGTTTAGTCTCCCGTTAACTCACGGCAGAGTTTAGTCTCCCGTTCACTCACGGCAGAGTTTAGTCTACAGTTAACTCACGTCAGAGTTTAGTCTCCCGTTAACTCACGGCAGAGTTTAGTCTCCCGTTCACTCACGGCAGAGTTTAGTCTCCCGTTCACTCACGGCAGAGTTTAGTCTCCCGTTAACTCACGGCAGAGTTTAGTCTCCCGTTCACTCACGGCAGAGTTTAGTCTACAGTTAACTCACGTCAGAGTTTAGTCTCCCGTTAACTCACGGCAGAGTTTAGTCTCCCGTTCACTCACGGCAGAGTTTAGTCTCCCGTTCACTCACGGCAGAGTTTAGTCTCCCGTTCACTCACGGCAGAGTTTAGTCTCCCGTTCACTCACGGCAGAGTTTATTCTGCCGTTAACTCACGGCAGCGGCCGCTGTAAAGTATTCACTGTCTGACTGTCACACAAGCAGCTGATAAATATCCCCCATCCCCATAAGTGAATTTGTTTCAGTCTGAATTGATGCTGTTTGGCATCACAACGCTGTTATGAAAGTTTCTCTGGTATGAGATGGGTGATGTTAGCATAGCAACCGAAGCTAATCTGACTATCTTGACTACTTGTTGCTATCCTATTGTGCCATAAGCCGTTTTCTACAGGCACATTTTACCTGCGTATTTTTCATTATGATTCTACTTGTGACATGACAACCTGTGAAGCCCATGTATTGATTGATGGCGTAAACGGTGATGTCATGACGCAGCACCAGTCAGGCTCTGGGCGGTTGAAACACAACTTGGGCTAAAAAGAAGAACCGGTTCAGAACCGGAAGAGCCTGAAGCTAGAACTGGAACTGGTTTGGAAAAGGGGCACGAGTGGGGCCAGCTAAGAACCGGTTTACGATGCTTAGAGCCAGCTACACTGCGGTGGAAAAGGGGCCTGTTCCGGGCTAGAGCCTGATTAAGCTCTGGTTCTTCCTGTTTCCATCGCAGCGGAGCCGGGAGGCTGTGGCTCAGTGGTTAGTGCGCTGAACTTGGAATCAGGGGGTAACAAGTTCGAGTCCCACTGCAGTCAGCATGTCGTTGTGTCCCTGGGCAAGACACTTCACCCCAAATTGCTCCTGTGGGGGTCGCCCACAGTACTGAATGTATGTCGCTTTGGATAAAAGCGTCTAACAAGTGAAATGTAATGTGAAATGTATGCAAACCGGTTCTTAGCTGGCCCCACTCGGGTTCCCGGCAAAAACCAAGAACCAATACGTCACGCTTACGTCGGAGGGGGCGAGATTAACCTGAGCAATAAAAGTTCATGACGAGTACGGCAAATAAAAGTTGCAACAAGCAGTAGCGCTGAGCAAAGTGACTAGAACGTGACCACACACTTATAAAAAACACACTTTATAAAGTCAGGCAACACTAACCAGGCTTCGTGTGATTCTGTTTATCTTTACCTTACTTTAATAACCATCCGTTCGCTGTTATTGATCATTGTGCATCAGCACACTGCCTCTTACGTTTTCCTGTTGTTTTGTATTATATTTTGTATTTTAGTGTGTACAGAAGGAAATCTGCACACACTAGAACAACTTTCTTCCTATCTCACAAAACATCTGTACAAGTCATTTGAGCCTCCTACTGGCTACTGTTGTCAAGATGTGCTACAGTAAAATTCCCTGTGTGGTTAGGAGAGTCTTACATTTGAAATATTTACTCAAATGTAGTTATATAAAATGTACCAGTCTAAGATAGTATGTTACAATCATCACAAAATACATCCTTTCATGAAATGTAATCATTATTTTCTTTTGGAGAAGCTATTTTCCCAGTTTTTTCGCTCTGCTTTAAATGGTTTATTTATGGGAGCCAAAATGTTTAGGTTTTCTAATTTAATCATCTCACACGCTTACCCATCACAGAGTTCTGGGCTGACTCCACAGTCATCAGCATCTTCCTGGGAATCCAAAGGAATAGTTCCTCTGCCTGCAACAAACACACACTCTTTATAGTAATGAACTGGTATTTGATGAAGTGTTTGGAGTGCTGGAGAATCTTGAAAAGGTAACCCCACTGAGTGGAGCTCACCTTGATGTCTCTGGTGGCCCGCAGGCCGTAGCCTTCTGTTCCAAAGTTGGCCACTGTGAAACCGTCACAGGACGCCCCGCTCTCCTGAGCCCAGGACATCAAGTCTGGGAAGTAGTCATCTCTGCTGCCGTCAAAGAGTATAGACATACCTGAACACAAACACACAGCAAGGGACAAATTATCTCTTTTTCATTTTCATCACCTCACTGATACATTACTTCAAATTAGGGCTGCCCTCGAATAAAGGTTTTTCTAGTCGACCAATAGTCATAAATTCAGGCGATTAGTCGACTAATCGTTGCGCGTTTATGATATATTATGACCTCAAAATGGTTTCAGTTTCATTGGCTAAGAAAGAAAACATTTTTAACATCATGGTACGTTGTGCTTCAAATCCAATCAAACTGTAATAAGGAACCTTTGAAATATCATCCCTTACACACTCAGAAAGATCCCTTCTGAGGAAAAATGTGTCAAGTAGGTTTTTCAGCCGACTAACGTTTAGTCGACTATTTGGGGGCAGCCCTACTTTAAATGACTTGAAATATAATATTGCTGATTACTTAATATTGATAAAATCCTGTGGAATAAGGTTTTCAAAACATTCATTTGAAATAAATAGTGTGTGCACAGCTGCATGCACATGTTCTCACCCTTCTGTTTCTTGCGGATCTTCTCCACCAGGCCTCTGATCTGGGTGTACTCCTCCCACTCTTTACCAGCAGAGGGGGCTGCACTGCTGCATTCTGGGGAATTAACAAAACAACTGCATGTTTAAATTAATAGTACAGCCAACACACATCTTAACAAGGACATGTAAACATGAAAATACCGTACATAATGTATCCAAACCATGATAACGTTAGGAGCAAATCAATACTAAATCATAAACTGTACAGATTTACACTGGCTCTGGTTTGTATGGGCCTCTGGTGAAAGTCGTCTCACTGTGATGAAACCTCAGCTGTACTGTTTAAGAAGACTGATGCACAACACCTGGATATGACCGCTGACTGCGAAACTACGTTTAGGGTACAAAACTACGGCACAATTCCAAACCGCCACCTACCCACTTCCACTCGGTGACGGAGTGAACTCCAGCTGTCGGGACACTCACAGCTAAACGAGGCACCATTATTTCAGAAATCTTTGGAACAAACTCCCCTCCCTCTGGCAGAAACAGGAATAATTTATCAAATAATATAATAATTTATAAAAAGGAAACGCCATTTGAATTATTCTGAATAAAAATTTGAAATTAGAAATGTTTTGAAAAAATCTTAAATGGTGTTTCCTTTTTGTAAACCTCTTTCTATTTTTTTTTTTTTTTTTTTAAATCTGATAAGCTGCTTGTTTTTTTTAATCAGTCTGTAAATATACAAAACGTTAGTATCAAATACACACCTTTACCTTTTTTCTAGACTAGACAAGGGGATATGATTTAAAGTAAAACAAATAAAAGTTATCCATCAGGTTGTTTACATCTGTATGACGATATTAAATGTCTATCTGGTTTCGCGGATTACCAGTAAATGTTTGTTGGAACTGTTTGTAACGGCGTGTTTCCTGACGGACACACACAGCGTGGGTCGGTCAGGTAGGACTGATGCAGATCCTTTGAGGGCTTGATAACCCACTCCCCCTCCCCAATAGTTGAATTGGAACGGCAATTAATGTGGCGGACCCTCCACGCGTACGTGGAGTGGAAGTGTGGAGGGGTAGGGTGCAAGAGGTAGTTTGGAATTGGGCCTTTGTTTAGGTGAGTGTGCTTTCAGCTGCCAATATCTTTACGGGCCTCCTTGCAAACTGCCTCCCTGATTTCTGTGCGACAGGTCATTTCTGGTGCAGACTGTCACTTTGGACCTGAGCAGCTGATTGACCAGTCAAATGGATGGATTCCTATCCCCACTGCGCCCGTACACATGAATCACTGAAAAAAGTAAACCACATATATAATTGAAACCAGAAACGTTATTATTATGTGGGTGTGCAGGAACATAATCCAAAATAGAACAAATTGTGTTATTGAGTAAGATTACAATCTACTCGAAGAAAAATTGGTGTAACTTAATGTTCCATATGTGCTGACTTTTTATTTTATTTTATATGATCAGAGTGAAAGAAAAGAAGGTTTCCTGGATGCAGGAGAACATACTCTGCAGCAGTTCAGCGATCAGGTTCATCATCTCCTTGGGGGTCACCACCGGGGTGGCTCCTGAGCCCGACTTCTGAATCTTCACTCGACTCTTCTTTCCCATGGTGCTGATGTACTGGTCTGAAAAGACACACCATCATTACTGTTGGCTGTGAACATGAGAAAGTAGATACAGGCTGAGAGGAAATCAACTAGGTATATAGCACACAGAAAAGTAAACACAGAAGCTCACTTTTTTCTAAATCATTTTTTGTGCCAAATACTATTTTTCATGGTTTCCCCTTATTAACTATGATACACCCACGCAGGTTATACTGTCCCCGTTATGTAGCTACAGGTACCGCCTGCCTTTACCTGTGTGACCTGACGCTACCTCTCTCATGTGAAGTGCTACACTCCCAGCCCTCAACATTTATTTTTTCTCTTGATTTATTTTTGAAGAACCAGGTGTGTCCAGGGGAAAAGTGTTGGAGTTTTATTTGAGTTATTAATTTACATTTTTTGTCTAAGAGATGCTGATTTGAAACCGTTGTTACATACAGTTACGGCATTTCCTGTTTCTGCCGGAGAGAGGGGAGGCCGTCCCAAAGCTTGCTGCTGTATTTACTCCCTCCATCTGACGGGAGGGAGCCTCGTTGAGCTGCGAGTGTGGCTACAGACGGAGTTCACTCCGTCACGGAGGGGTAGGGTCGAGGGAGTGGTTTGGGATTGGGCCGAAAAGTCATTTCTTGACTGGCAGCAAAAACAACCAATCACAGCAGTGCTTCTCTGGCTGGCTCTGTCCAATCACAAACAAGAAGTGTTCTCCCTAAAGGAATACCCTTTCCGTCCAATGTGAAATGCTGTGGTGTTTTCTGAAATGCTGAAGAGTTTTCTGAAATGCTGTGGTGTCTTGCACTTCAGGGCCACCGTAATTATCATTTATATTTATCTGCAACAATGGATATCAGGAAGTGGTTCATGAACAAAAAGAGCTCACAAAAGGAATATGGCAACTCAGCGCTAGATGCAGGCACATTAGAAGAAATCAGTTACGTTACCAACAAGCTAGCAAGCCAGCCAGGGACAAGGGAGGCTGGCAATCAATTCTATTTTGAAGAGAAATTGACTCTCAAGTCCTCTCTCACAAACTCCTGCTCTGTGCGCAAGCAGACCGCTGTACACGTTCTCTCCCTCGCTCAATCTCTCTCTCCCTTTCTCTCCATCGCTTAACCTCTCTCTTTCTCTCTCTCATCTCTGATAATAAGACCGTCAACAGCATGGCAACCTAAAACCCCTCTTTTTCCGTAACAACAATTCACGAGCGCCTCCCCACACCCATTGACAAATCACGAGCGTCTAACTACTTCTGATTGATTCTGATAAAACAACAGTAAACAGTGAAAAAGCGTTTAGCCCCTGAATATAATTATTGCGCCGATTTAGACTCCTTAGCACTAGAGTTCACTCACTACTACCGCATGGCTGTTAACTGCAAATGAATCACTCTACATTAGCATATTATTACCTTATTGTATTCCTATTGTTATGGTGAGCAAATAAACACAAAGGCTGGCCACAAAGATTGTCCAATCTTTTGGTCCCTGAACAGGACTGTCACCAACATCACACAGAGAATTCTGACAGTAACAGCATACAAGGCATGTGACCTAATGTAATGGCTGGATCAATAACCAATATCAGGTGGATGTTGGTTTAGTGTACTCAATGAGTTCTGTTACATTTTGGTAGTATTGCTTGCTGCTCTATTTGGCACAAATAATACAAAAACTGATATTTTTGCTAGCAAGTGTACACAGCTCTGGGATACTACATCAAGTGTGTCTAATATCATCACCTTTGACCTTTTAAACAACACATAATGACCCTTTTTCTTTCTTTAAACCAGATAAGTCATTCTTCAACTGTTGAACATAAAGTAGGCTACAGCAAGAAGGAACAGTGTGCTGATGAGGTCGGACCCAGGAACAGCCTACTGCCAGCACAGTGTTCTCATACGGGTTGATGGGGATGTAAATATTGATAGGTAGGTATATTGTTAAATATTGATAGGTAGGTATATTGTTAAATATTGATAGGTAGGTATATTGTTAAATGTGTTGGTATTAAATGTGTTGGTATTAAATATTGATAGGTAGGTATATTGTTAAATGTGTTGGTATTTTGTATTAACAGCGTGTTTCCTGACGGACACACACAGTATTGGTCGGTCAGGTAGGGCAGCAGGTGAAGTCAGGACTGATGCAGATCCTTTTGGAGGGCTTGATAACCCACTCCCCTCCCCAATAGTTGAATTGGAACGGCACTTTATGTGGCAGACCCTCCACACATACGTGGAGTGGAAGTGTGGAGGGTTAGGGTGCAAGAGGCAGTTTGGCTGGCTGTTTCTTTGTAAGACACTTTAACAGAAAGAAAATGCAATAGTGCAAAGTAATTTGATTTGGTGACAGTAAAATAATCTAAGTGTATTTCACTCTGAGAAGCTGCCTCTGATTCAGATTGAGAACAAAGATTGCCGGACATAAAACTAAAGAGCTAAAGGGGCTAAAAAGCTCCACTTCCACCTTTAAGATTGCACTTAAATATTCAAACTATAGCTAATATGAAAATGTTGATACATGCAGCTTTACCTATTTTTATGCAAAATGAATTCCGTCTGAGTAAAAGCTGGAAAACCCAAACGGTGGCAGTATGGAGTAATTAAAGATAACAATGTTAGTACTATTTTGTATTAATTATCAGGCAAATCCGCAATGAGGCAATACGTTTTTAGAAGACAGCCATGGATATATTGCAAAACCATCTTTATTTGTTTCTGAAAACTGTAAAATCATATAAGCAAATACAAATAATGTCTTTAGACTGTTTTGTTATTGTCGTGTGTTCCAGTACAAGACTCAGCTAGACAAAAGAGCTAAATATTGATAGACTTGCGGGACAAACAGCAGTACAGCTCTCAGACCTCCTCCATGACACCGTTACAGCCTCACATAGCTAACTTCACATGTCAGCAAACTAACAACTTAAGCAAAGTAACGCCTTTTGTCAGGCCTTTATTTCGGACGTAGCATAGGTAATGGATTACCATGGTTTATCCTCCAATTTAGAGTTAGGTTTACTAACGTTACAAGTTAGCACCTCGGGTCATTTATAGCTTTTCTACTAGGCCAGCAGCTAGCATTAGCATTGAGGAATCACGCCCATCCGAGCAGAGCCGCAATTGGAGCGCAGAGCGAGGCGGGTACCGTACACTGGCTGTCTGAAGCAGGCTAGCTGTTAGCTGCTCAGCTGTCAAGTGATACAAGGATCAGCCTGAGTTTTAGAAGGGGCTAATCTACTGGATTGGCTGGCTAGTTAGTCATGTCTGCTCAAATACAACTGCCTCCATACAATATGCACGCGTCATTACAGAATAACACTCAACACCAAGTCTGGACTATACTTAACCAAACCAAAAGCTATTTCTAAAATTCAGTCATACCTTTTTTTAAGTGACAGCAGTAGTTCCTCTGTTCCTGCAATGAACCCAACCTTGATTATATCGCGCGTGTGATTGGAGTAGTGTAAACTACGCCCACATTCACGTCAGAGCATTCTGGGATTCTCATTGGTTGTAGGGTAAGTAATGTAAGGAAGCAACTCGCGGAACATGGCATTGACTGGTTGAAATGCTGATCTATGTAAATGTTTTGCTATTTCCCTCTCCCTGCGCATTATACAATTGGACGAATACTTTTAGACTGATTAAAATGACCATAAATGGTCATGTTTGAGCTTCGATGATTGGTTGAAAGACGTGTCAATCACTAATCTTTCTCAGTGTATTCCGCTGGTCTTTGTTTGGATGGATTGGTTCGCTTGCATCAGAACTAAACCCACAAAGGAATAAGGTCGGATATTCAACTTTTTATACAACAATGGGATTTCTCTGGTAGACATTTCACACGTGTTTACTACTGTCATTATTGTGTAAAGGCAGCAGCCATTATGTTCAACACAGTGGGTCGTGTTATGAGTAATAGGTTCGGTACTTCCATTGCCGTACAGTGGATGTGTTATCAGCAGCTTCTAGCATCTGTCGTCCGCCAACTGGCCATAGTTGTGGCTAGCTAGGTTAGATGCTGTTTTCTCTCACACAATTACAAGAAGAATATTCAATCCGAGCCTAAAGTCCTGCAGTGAGCGGGACCGAAAGGATCTGTCCACCCTGGACCTCTTCACGCCCCTGTTATTCTGGGACAGGAATGACCCGGACACCCTGGAACACATCAAACCATGCTGGTACTGGGACAAGAAGGACTTAGCCCACACCCCGTCCCAGTCCGACGGGCTGGACCCTGCTACTGATGCCCGGTACCGCAGAGAGGGGGCTCGCTACATCTTTGATGTGGGCACACGGCTCGGACTGTATCCTTATGTGGCAAATATAGTTAAAGTAGGAGAACCTAGCACCTACTAAATAGACAGATACGAGTTGTTTAAATCATACCATCAGCTGTATACTATTACTCAGTATTTCACATGCATTTCATTGGGTGGTTCAGGCCCGGCTCCAGGATGAAATGACTGAGGGGGCTGTTAACAAATCAGAGGGGGCCATTTTTTTTTCACAACAACGAAAAATACTGGCAATTTAATGAATTGACACACCGAGCTTTTTTCCTTCTCACTGCTCTACAATCTCTTTGCTTCTTTATTTTTATTCTGGATTTACCCCTCTCGTTCCGTTCTTTTCCTCTGATCTTTAATAATATATAGTAGATAGTTGATAGATAGATGGCTGCACTTTGGTTAACAGACTAACATTGATTTCCTCAATTTATAAATGGATAGGCTCTGTAATTATACCATAACCTTTTCTCCTCTATCCCTTAACTCGTCTTCCTATACAGATTTACTTACCTCTAGTTAAAGAAACATTAATCTGGTTGATTTTTTATTTCCAGGATTGAATGTTCAAATCAAGGCCTAAAACCTGGCATTTCATAAGAAAGTGACTAATATATAAACCAAATGTAATATTGGATCAAATACTACACCAAATGGACAGACACAGATTAAAAATAAAGTCCCCTGGTTTGTCTCTAGAGTCTAACTGCCATGAGAAAAAATCAAATCAATGTTCCAAAATCCGTCACTAGATGTCGCTCATTGTACCAATACGGTTGATATAATACATAACATTATTATTCTAGTAAAAGGGCTCGCTTTGGCAAAAACCTGATCCATACAGGCAGCCCTAAATAATAACAAGTAACCATCATGTGTGGTGCTATCTGTAGTTGTCGGTCTTATTTTTTGTTGATGTCATATTGTGTTCACAGTGCTGTGAAAATGAATTTCCCCCTGGGGACAAATCAATGTTCCAAAATCCGTCACTAGATATCGCTCATTGTACCAATACGGTTTATATAATACAGATTACCACAACAGTGCTGTGGAAATGAATTCCCCCCTGGGGACAATAAATCTAATCTAAACTAATTTAATATTAAATCCCACACTTAGCGATTGAGAACATACATTCGTAACTTACCTCGTTTAAAGCACTTTTGCTGTAATACTATGGATTTAGTTGACACTACTAGCCGAGTTTCTTTTGTCCAATATTTCGCGGGCAGGTACATTGAATTAGAAGTAGAAGAAGTAGAAGAAGAAGTTACAAGAACTAAAGAAAGTGAAGACATTTACATTTCTGGGAATATGGTTGGACGAGAGAGTCACATGGAGTACTCTCATTGATAAAGTAGTAGATGAATGTAAAAAGGTTTTAAATGTTATGAGGTGCTAAGTGGGGGGCTGATAAAGCTGCTTTGAGGAACGTATACACAGCCTTAATTAGATCAGTCATAGAATACGGACTAATAGTGTATGGTTCAGCTGCATACTCTTCTCTTCAAAAATTAGATAGAGTCCAGGCACAAGCACTAAGGATATGCTGTGGGGCAGTCAGATCTACACCAGTGTCGGCACTTCAGGTAGAAGTCGGAGAAATACCAATTTATTTTAGGAGAAAACAGTTCATTGTTCATTACTGGGCAAATCTACAGGGCCAGAAAGATGCTCACCCTACCAAACAAACTGTACAAACAAGTTGGGAAAGTAACAAAATTAAAAAAGAACGTTTTTGTGTTTGTGTTTCAGAAATATGTAAGGAATTCAAAGTTAAAGAATAGAATATTAGTCTGACAGTGTTGTTATCAGCTGTTCCACCATGGTTGCTACCTCAACCTATAGTAGATTTATCCTTATTGAAACGGTTACATTCAATGAAAAGTCAAATCAATGTGCAGGCTTACGTGAACAATATGGGCAGTTTATACAAATATTTACTGATGGATCCAAAAATCCAGAAAATGGTCAAACTAGTTGTGCATTTTATGTTCCTGAATTAAAGGTCAAAGTGGGAAAGCGTGCGAGTGATCACATTGCAGTATATACAGTAGAGATGATGGCTATCTCACTAGCACTTCAGTGGGTAGAGGAAACACAGCCAATGTGAGTGGTCATTTGCTCTGACTCCAGCGCAGCTCTGGAGAGTATAAACAACTTCTCTTCAGAATGTCGTCATGTTTAGGTTAGTTCATTTGGGAATTGTTGTTCAATTTGTGTGGGTTCCAGCGCATGTGGATATTAGAGGGAATGAAGCAGTGGATCAACTGGCAAAATGTGGTTTGAAAGCAAACCAGATTGATATAATTGTACCCATCAGTCGAGCAGAAGTCAAATCTGTTACAAAAGTTGTTATCAAGCAACAATGGCAAAAGTTATGGGACAGTAACATCAAAGGAAGACATTTATACCAGATACAAAGGGAAGTAGGAACGGGAAGCACTTGGGGGAGTAGTAGAAGAGAACCGAACATTAACAGCAGGATAACATTGGGTCACTCTGGATTAAATTCAACACTGCATCTGATTGGAAAACATCCAAATGGCAATTGTGATGGTTGCCAACAACCAGAGACAATACATCATGTATTTTTTAGCTGCCGGGATTATAACAGACAAAGACTCATTCTGAAAACTGCACTGGAACAACATAACATCAAGGACATGGATTTCAAGTCAATATACGAAAGTAAATCAAGAAATGAAGTAAACAAGCTGATCTTCAAGTTCCTAAAAAACACTGGTCTGAGGACGAGCATTTAATATAAACATTTAATAAATCAACAGTAGATGGCGATATATGCTCCAAGTGGAAGCGATTCGCCATTAAAGAAGAAGAAGTAGTAGAAGAAGAAATACGCTAACGCTACAAACAGGCACAACACTGTTACTCTGTTTTTACTGACATATAACATTTGATTTCACCTTGCTCTATTTTTTTTAATGCACGTTCAAAAATGGGAACATATTCGGGAGTTTCAACCGGGTACCAGCCACTGAAAATGGGGACGTTTTGGTCACCCACCCGACCGTGTTTACAGCTAAGCACACACGCTAACATTAAGACTACAAGCTCACTTGGGGTTGAGGCTTTTTTACACGTTGCTTGACTGCCTGCCCCAACATATCTGATCTAAACATAGTAACGTGTATTGGGGAAAATAATTATTTAAAGTTATTTAATAATTGTGACATTTATTGTACTTTTTTGATGGATGAATGATGCTCAAAGTGAGGGGGCAAAGAATACAACTGAGGGGGCAATGCCCCCTTTTGCCCCCTCGTGGCGCCGGGCCCGGGGTGGTTCTTGATACTGGCTTGCATTGTGCTTACAGTTTGTGGCTTTCAATACACACATTCTACGGCCCGTCCACACAGCGGCGTGCGTTGAAGCTTGCCGGTGGGCGTGTCTGAAACTCGACCAACAACCAATCACATTTTTGATTGGCTAGAGCTTATACTGGCATATGATTAGATTGGCTGACGCTTCTGCCGAGGCTTCAAAAGTTGAACATTGCTCAACTTTTGCAGCGAGCCACGCCAGCAAAGCTCCGCGTCGCTTCCCACAATGCAGTTCGGCAAAAAGTGACGTCACCCCATTCAAAGTGAATGGTGAAGCTTTCAACGCACGCCACTGTGTGGACAGGCGTTAGTCCTGCATTCAAAATGTTACTCAAGAAAAGTAGAAAAGTATTAGCATCAAAATATAGTGAAAGTTGCGACAGTAAAAGTAGTCATTGTGCAGATTGTTCCATTTCAGAATAATATATATGATATGTTTTATAATGATTGATCATGAAAGTGTTCTCAAAGCTGGTAAAGGTGCAGCTAGTTTGAATGACTTTGTATACTGCAGGGTAGGGCTGGGCGATATATCGATTAACTCGAGTGTGTAGTTCACGTCGACTTGTTAAAATGAAAATCGGTTTTCTCTTCAACTTCCGCCAACTTTTCCCTCTGGGCTCCCGTAGTTCGCCTCAGCCCTCCCCCCGCACAGTGCGCGCATTTACCAAATAGAGTGATACACATTACACAAACAACATGACAACGAGCAGGTAAGAACTTGTTCCAAAGAAAGGCACGGTGTCATCCGTTATTTGGAATTGGTTTGCGTTCGCGAGGTCAGATTTAGACCAGACAACACCCCGCTGCAAAGTATGTTTGAAGTCTGTTGCTAGCAAAGGCAGCAGTACGACACATTTACTGCAGCACCTCAAACAAAAGCATCCTGCTGAATGGGAGAAATGTTCCGCGCAGCGGAATGAAAAATACCGCGGCACTACAAGCACCTCACGCACAGCCGCCAAAATACAGTCTACCGTAACACAGACATTTTCAAACTGCATCCCATATAGTGCTGCGTACCGGTACGCCGAACCGGTACTGGACTTGTAAAAGGTTTCGGTTCAAGTCCGGTTAAAACCGGAACGTCGGGAACCGGTACTTGGACTCGCAAAAAAAACTAGCACTTACGTATATTCTGGTGTCTGTGGTTATTTAAACATTCCCTGATAAACGTTATTCAGCGTCAATAAATGAGTGCTAATCCCAGTGTGCTCAGTGTACAACATCACATGTCATTTCACCTTCGATTCACGGTTTGAAGACGTAGCATTTTACCACATGCTAATGCTAACCGGAAGTGAATAATATTCAGAATAAAAGTATTAAATTAATAGTGTCAACTTCCGGTTTTTTTCAGAATAAAACTGATTTAAATTAAATAGTGTATTTAATTCAAAATTACGCCATATCAACATTGATTTTAATTTCTAAAAGCATGTATGTACATCACTATGTATGTAGTATACACTGTATAATGTACACATGTAGAGTTGTAGATAATACATGGTGTACAGACAGTACAGTACACTCTGACTGTACAGTCAGTCACTACAGTGTAGCCTATACTGTATAGTAGGTGTGTAACAGTGTAATGCGTATAGTCTACTCTACACTACCTTTCAGCAACGTTTTAGGGATTTAGGCTCAGTCAGCTCAGGGACTGTTTGGTTACTTTAGTTTGGTAAATGAAATAAATGTTTGAACTTTGTAGTAGTTGCTGTCATAAGTCATTTGTAGACTAAGTGGCAAAAAGTGTTTTTTTTACATTTGTACTTTGTAGAGAAATGTAGACACAAGTTGGAAGGGAGCACAATAAACCTGATGAGTTCGAATTTGAGTTCATTTTTAATTGATAATTAGCTCACAATAAGTTCATTTTAGTTACTCACACAACTTGACACAAGCCATGGGTTCAGGTCCGGATTTATAAGTCCGGACCTGAACCTGAACCTCTGGACTTGAGTCCGGACCTGAACCTGAATGTGAGTCCTGTCCAGGTACGCAGCACTAATCCCATATGACAAGAATTCGGCCCGCTTGAAAGCCATTACAGATGCGGTCGGTATGTATATAGCAAAGGATATGGTGCCAATATATCCTCCTGGGACCCAGCCCATTGAAAATGTCCACTGTAGTGGACATTTTGTTAACATGCATCTCCTTTTACTCTTTTGAGCTACTCTATCAATCCCTGATGTGCTGTACAGAAGACATCCTGGTCTTTCCAGTGATATGTCATTGGTTAAAATTGGAACAATTACTTTCATCTGCATATGAATTGGGGGGGGGGGGAGAAAATCAATTTAAATCGGATTTCTTGTGAAAAAATCGGGGATTTCTTTTTTTTGGCCATATCGCCCAGCCCTACTGCAGGGTAGCTTGTGGATTTACTCCAGGTGGAACTAAAGTCTGATTTAACGCTTGATTATATTTCACATCATTCATCCACATCTGTGAAGTAACTAAAGGTATTACATACATGTAGTGGAGGAGAAGTACACCATGTACCTCTGAATTGTAGTGCAGTAGAAGAACCACATAGCAAAACATTTAAATTCTCAGGTAAAGTACAAGTATCTCAAAATTGTACTTAAGTACAGTACTTGAGTAAATGTACTCAGTTACTTTACACCACTGGTGTGGGGTTGGGGGCTCTGTTAAACACCTGTCCACATGTGAACCTCCCTTCTTCACTGACTGATGAATAACAACTGTTCAAATGTTGAAACTCCTCCGTCAGACTTCTTAACCTCTACGGTTACAGGCACTATGACACACTGGCTACTGGGATTGTTTACTTCCACCGCTTCTACATGTTCCACTCCTTCAAGCAGTTTCCTAGATATGTAAGTATGGAATTCCTGGTGGGTGTATGGTGAAATATCTCCATATTCATGTTATTAAGTCTTCCATAGCATCATTTGTACATGTGTTGTACAGCTTGGTTCCTAACCTGGTGCACGTGCCTGCAGGTGACGGGAGGATGCTGTCTTTTCCTGGCAGGCAAAGTGGAGGAAACTCCAAAGAAGTGCAAAGACATCATCAAGACCGCTCGCAGCCTGCTAAATGACATCCAGTTTGCACAGTTTGGAGATGATCCCAAGGTCTGTCCAAGTAAATGCTTTTATTAGCAGTCTTTTCTCTAAAAGTGCTGACAAATAACCTGCTATGAGTTTTATTCATTTTTCTGGGCTCTATTTTTCTCAAGCCTTTCAACTTAGAGGTGGACAGTATTTTGTTAGTCAAATTGGACAAATCTTAAATGAGTACATCCATCCATCAGTGTCTTAATGTCTTAGGCCCAATCCCAAACCACTCCCTCGACCCTACCCCTCCGTGACGGAGTGAACTCCGTCTGTAGCCACACTCGCAGCTCAACGAGGCTCCCTCCTGTCAGATGGAGGGAGTAAATACAGCAGCAAGCTTTGGGACAAACTCCCCTCTCTCCGGCAGAAACAGGAAGTGCCGTAACTGTATGTAACAACGGTTTCAAATCAGCATCTCTTAGACAAAAAATATAAATTAATAACTCAAATAAAACTCCAAACATCTTTCATTGTGTTTCAAAGCTCTTTTAGTTTTAAACCTGATGTTTATAAGCTTCTTAGTTTTTGAAACAGTCTGTAAATATACACAACTTTATAATAAAATGCACACATTTACCTTTTTCAAGACTAAACACAGGTACGATCCTAAGTTAAAACATATGAGGTTATCATGAGGTTGTTAACATGCAGTTTATCAGTGGATGTTTGCTGGAACTACTTGTAAACAGTACCTGACGGACACACACAGCGTTGAGACCGGTCAGGTAGAGACCGGTCTCAAGTCAGCACCGCTGCAGACTCGCTGTTTGAGGGCTTGATAGCCCACTCCCCCTCCACACCGCTCCACACTCGTTGGTTTGGAACAGCACTTAAAATAGCGGACCCTCCGCGCGAACGGAGGGGTAGTGTGTAGGGGGCGGTTTGGGATTGGGCCTGAGTGTCTTAATGTTACTGTCCATGGTGCTGGAAACATTTTGTTGGCGCAACTAGCTCATTTACACTAACTGTGTGCAGCCTTGGTCTATGTGGAATAAGGATACACGTACACAACAAAACATGACCAATTTATTTAAGTAACATTAAAACAAAAAGTCTTTTCTTGCATGAGGTTTCCTTCTTGGTTCTATTATTTGAGGATCATTTATAAACATTAATTAACGTGAGTTAATATAGTGAATCTATAATCTGTAATATGGTGTCAGATTCCAGCCAATAAAGTTAGATTATATTAGTCCCCTCTTTCTACCCCAATGTAAACAATGTTTGAAAAAAAAAAACGAAAAACAACCAAACAAATTTGAGCACAAGAGTGGATTTGTAAACCAGCAGTCTAAAGTTTAAATTGGACCTATCATGCTATATTTGAAACTTTGTCGAGAATGTGGCCGTGTAATAAGCGGGATAATGTGCACATTGCATAATGTGCCTTCATGCCGATCTAGATCCCTCCGCTTGGCATCGGGCTCCTGATCAGCCTGTCGGTGTTCTTTTCCCCATAATGACCGCGTCGCTGCACATTATCCCTTACATATGATTATATAGAGTCATTATTCATTTGTTTTAAAGCAGCAGGCGCAAACGCTTGCCTCGGGGAGGGAGAAAAAGAGCCACAGCGGAGAATAAACAGAAGGGCAACCATGGCAACCATGCAAGGGAAGTCTTCTTCGCTGCTTTTGTGGCACACTACAGCGCCACTTACAGGCGTGGCATATGTACTACAGCGTCTCCAGCGCTTTCCAGCAGCAATGGCCGGCCGTGGCCCAACCTCTCATTCCCCTGATAGGTGGAGAATTGACCAATAGCTGTAGCATCACCGTCCTGACGTCAGGACAGTGTTCAAATCTGGATCAGTCTGTATCAGATCCGTTGCAGCCCCGTTTTTAGAGATTTGGCTAAGGAGGAAAAGAGAGAGGGTTGTGTTTTCTGACACTTGGTGAGTTCCCTGGAACACCGGGGACACATATTCATGTATAAAAGACGTACAAAAGTGCATTTTGCATGATAGGTCCCCTTTAAAGTCCTTGGACATTTACATAAATAGTCAGTGGTCACGATGAAATCACAAAACGTCAAAGCGCTATAAACCTTATAAAACAGCTTGGTCAGCAGGTTTTATAATAGGCGCGTTCACACCGGAGTACTTTTCCCCGTACTTTTCCCGTTTAGTTCTGTTAGTACCCCTTATGTCGCATTCACACCAAAAAGAGTACTTAGTGCCGGGAACTTTTACCCCAATTTTAAGTGCCTGCTGAGGCTGAAAAAAAGTGCCCCAGTTCTGATTGGCTGGGCGAATTGCAAACCACGCCCCGTAAAACTCTGAAATGTTTTGTGAAGCCGCCATTTGATTATCCTTGCATTAGCATTATTAGCATTAGCATTCGCCCAGCGCACAATAGCAGAGAGACTAACTTATGGCAACACAAAAGAAAACATGGGAGCGGTGGAGATGAGGAGGTGTCGGCGTTCTGGCGATTTACTCGGAAGGCTTCAGTAGAAGCTGCTGGGAGTCCCAGCAGCTTCTACTGAAGCCAGTCCCCAACTCTGGGGAGTTCAAGTGGCAGTATACGCCGTGAAGTAGTTTGCGGCCTGACAGTAAACCCAAAGCAGAAGAAGAAGAAGTGACGTCAGCGGCTTCATTTGCGTAATCTTCCCTCAGGGAACTTATTCCGGTGTGAACGCGATCGGCTCTTAGTTCCATGGCGGGAACTAAGTGCTGGAAACTAAGTACGGCAAAGTACTTGGTGTGAACGCGGCTAATGAGTTTGATATTATTTGACTTGCAGTGCTTTGGGGAAACAGGCACCCCTATCTGCATTTCAAGCTTTCACACTACAGACCTGTTCTTCCTCATTCTACGTTTTGGCTGACAACCTGCAGAATGTAACTCTTCTTATCCTTTGAGTGCTGGATAGCTATTTCTTATAAAGTGTTTCACCATTTTCTTAAGGAAGAATCATTTTCTAACAGGAGGAGGTGATGGTGTTGGAGCGCATTCTGCTGCAGACCATCAAGTTCGACCTGCAGGTGGAGCACCCCTACCAGTTCCTGCTGCGCTATGCCAAGCAGCTGAAAGGTACCTATGTTTCCCTTTGCCTCTTTAGGTTTTTTTCACAAAGACTAAATAAAGACAAATATATTGAGAAGAGTTGTTGGACCAGAAATTGAAATGAGAACTTGACTGTAGTGTGTGGTTAGAAAAAAGTCAGTCATTGAGGAAGTGCCTGATGGGGTGTCCGGGAGGGCTGGGGGTTGTAAGAAGCTGATGTTAATAATTCCTGTGTTGTTCAGGGGACAAAAACAAGGTGCAGAAGCTGGTTCAGATGGCCTGGACCTTTGTGAACGACAGGTGAGCCCACAGACGGTGACTTAAGTGAATAAGGAATAATAGGTTGACAAAGGTAAAGATATTTGTTTCAATATTTATTATATAATTACTGTTTCAAGGGTATGGAAGCAGGCCAAAATGATTAACACAATTATGTTTAATCAATATTGAACTCACAATTATTTATCATGTTTATTCATTTATTTTAGCATCAGTGTTTTTTTGCATTTTAACATCTTAATAAAAGAGTGCTGTCACTTCCATGTTGTGCTATATTGTAATATACCATACTGTATATTGCAATATACAAACATCTATATTCTATAGACTACAATTTAAAGTTAAATGCATACATCTGGTGCAAGAACCAAAGTAGGAGGCCAGATAAACATAAAACACTTAATTTAACCAAAGCAATCTACAATACGTGCAGTTAACCATCAGGACACAAACTCATTCAATACATGACATGTCAGTGTTCTTCACCTGTAACACAACCTATAGTATTCTGTTTCTAATTTGTTTAATTAAAGGGGAAAAGCCCTAAAAGAAAGGTGCTCACACAAACAATGTTGTACTCTAGTAAACAATTTAAATATGAAAACAATGGTTCTATAGATTTGATGGTGATAGGTGAAAACACAGCAAAAAAGGAATTGCCATTAAAAATGGATTCATTCTGCAGCTGTGAAAAAGCCTCGATATTTAGCACATCTAAGGATCAGGTAGCATTGTAAGACACCTAACTTTGACCCTAACCTTTAATCGATCCTAACTAGCTACGCTCCTTTCTGATGACTTATTTTAAAAGAGGGGCCTCTTCTTCCTTCCTCCATCACATTATCATGCTCTGATTTAAGAGAGCGCATGTTTGTAAGATACAGTGCGGGGCCTCAGCCAATCAACGTGCTGCTCACAGCTCTACAATAAATTACAATTTTTAACCATTTTAATTGAAAGAAGAAATAGAAAATCAATATGTGACTGTCAATTATGTTATTATGGTGGCCCGCCATAAATCATTTTAATCAATACTAGGCAGTCATGAATACTCTTCATGCGGCCCCCAGCCTGTGCACCATGGTGGCCCTGCAGTGGGAGCCGCAGATCATCGCCGTGGCCGTTATGTATCTGGCTGGACGCCTCTCTAAGTTTGACGTCCAGGACTGGACCTCCAAGCAGTTGTCCCGGCGCTGGTGGGAGCAGTTTGTCCACGATGTGCCTGTTGAGGTGCTTGAAGGTGAAGAGAACTATCACACTATCCACAGTACATCAAACATATATATTAATAATCCGTTTTCCTCCACTGATCTCTCATGCTGTCCTCCATCACAAAGATATCTGCCACCAGATCCTGGACCTGTATTCTCAGGCCAAGCAGAACATTCCTGATGGAGGGATAGGGACAGCTGGAACCCCCCCCCAGCTTTCCCTCCTATCCCCCCCCTGCCCCACCGCAGGCCAAGAAGGCCTCCCCTCAGACCAGCCCCCGATTACCAAGACCAGCCCAGGTGAGTGGGTGTGTTACATCTCATTTTATGCCCAACATGTTTTTCTGACTCAGACTGAGACTGTACTTTTGTATTTTAGCCCTCGCCAAAAGATGATGGCAAGCCCAGCAGTGAGTACAAACCCAGACCTAACCCTGAGCTCCATCTATTTTCATTTTACATTGTTTTTCTTTATCGGCACCTTTTGTTTTCCAGAGCTGTCAAATCTAGAACCTCCCCCCCCCTCCTCCTCCAGTCTCCATAAACCCAGGTCAGTGTCTTCTGCTCTTATCCTCCTTTGACACCATTAGTTTTAAAACTGGAATCAATTGCATGAAATAAGAGGTTCACCACAGTATTAACATTTTGCAACCATATTCCTGTTTATTCTTCCTTAATTCAATTCAAAACCTTTATTTATCCAGGTGAAATCCCATTGAGATCAATGATCTCTTTTTCAAGGGAGACCTACTCTTGCATGGTAATAAAGGGGGTCATTTGTATTCTTGTGACAGTAAAACGGCTTCACCCTTCACCATGTGTCTTGTGAGGATGAGGAAATAGAGAGCTGCCTTTTTTAAGTAGCATTTAACTCGACTCAAAAGTAACAGCATTATTATTATTTTACCAATTACTATATAAGAAAACATTATTAGTTACAAGGGAAAGTTAATTATGTTGTAGTTATTATTATTATTTTTCATTTGTATTTTTAAAATTATTATTTGAAGAATCTTAACATACCTTAATGTGTTACTTATGTCACTTAGTTGTTTGTTTTTAAACTGCTGCTACTAATTTTAAAGGTGGGGTAGGTCATTTTGGAGAAACCAGCTTGAGTGCGCTAGAATTTGAAAATACACAACCGGAACAAATCTGCCACTTCCTCACAGAGCCCCTCCTCCAACACACACGAACGCGCACATGACCAATGAGGGCATGAGATACGTTTGTGCACAGATGGAAGGCTGACAGGCAGGTAGGCCATCCAGTTACTTTAGCCGGGCCGGCTAACATGATTGGTCGTGCTTTTTACAGCGCCACGGCTTCCACAGATGACATTTTTTTATGGATTTTTTGTCAAAGCACTTAAAGGTTCCATGTCATGGCCATTTCTACTGATCATTGTTCAGGTCTACTAAAATAGATTTATACTGTGCAATTTTCCAAACCCAATTGGTTTCTCATACAGCATCTCTGTAAAGTATGTGCATTCACCGGTATTCACTCTCTGTCCTAAACGGCTTGTTGGAGCTCCTGCCCCCCCCCCCCCCCGTGAGCCCAGTGCTCTGATTGGTCTCTGACTGGAGGCTCGTCTGTCTGCTGATCAGACAGGCTTCCGTGTCTGCGATACACAGAGAACAAGCGAAACTCATCCTGAGCACACACAAACACTCACAGTATTGAGTAAGAAAGAGGTTTATAACGCTGTGAGCATGGGTCTGCGTAGAGCATTTCTCCGCGATCCCAACGTAGTAGTCCGAAAAACGTTGACCCATTTAAACAGTCGTGGTAGATACCTTGTTTGTTTTAAACATCATAAATACACAAACAACAATGAATACTGTTGGAGATTTAAAGGGATATCTGATCCGCTTTTCAAATCTCCGCGCGTTCCTATGAAGCTGGTTATAATACAGGAAGGAATCCATATCTACAAAGTAACCGTTAACAATAATCTACTTTAATGGCAATATGACAATGCAATACAATCATTACAATACAACATGATATATTACAGTTATATTGTAATGCTTAAGGAGTAATGCCGGCTTACTCCTGCCCTGGTCCGCATACTGCAGAGCTACTTTCACCCGAGGGCAGCATGTGAAGAAGAGGCCGAACGCCAGGGATCCACCGGATATATACCAGAGTAAGAAGGAGGGGTTTGGTGTTAGGTCAGCTGGTCATCTTTTCAGGTCATCTCATTGGGAGACGCAACGCAGCAGGAAACGCAGCAGGAAACCAAACAAGCTCACTTTCCAACAAAAGGTCTCAAGGCCTGCATACCTACACCTCCCCCACAGAGCAATAAAACCCTGTTTACTCCAACCAGCCCAGAATGTTTATAGCCATTTGTAGTCCTTACATTTATGAAAGGATAAAACAGAGAAATCAATATAAAACACAAACACAGGTATTGTTTGAACAGTATTCACTTAACTGCTACTGTTGATAAGCACCAGAGAAACCCAAGAGACCTCTCTTAATAGCACAACCACTGTAGCTCGTTCTAAGTTGAATGCAAATCAGGACATGCTCTCACCTTCCCCCATCTTCCTTTGTCCTCAAAAACACATGTCAACAGGCCCCAAATGCAGCTCACAGTTTTACCCAAATTATTCTCATTTTAAGCTTATCCATAGTTTGCTAACATGAATAAATACAAATATAACTCTACAAATCCCCCTTTTTATCTCCTTCTCCAGAGATAAACTTAGACAAGGCATTTTGAAATATACCCACTGTCATTATTTTCTACTGTGTCCGTAAATCCATCCGAAGCTGGTATTTAGAGCACTTGAAACCTTCATGGAGACCGAACACCACTTTCCATGGCAGTGAAGGAACCATGAGGGGGTAGCTGAGTGCTAGAATCATCAGCCCCCCCCCCCGAGGAATAGCCCACAAGGACAGCTAATAGGGAGGGGGAGATGCAGCTTGCCCTTCACGGGTAGAACTGATCAGAGCAAAGTAGACTCCTCTGCTGCGCCGTCCCGGCTTGCCGTGTCTTTGTCTCCCAATCCGCTGACAGCAGCTTCTGGGCTGCCTGCTAGAGAGATGTCTTCCTCCTCCTCGTCCTCCGGCCCGCTGATGGCGGCTTCCGGGTCGATGCTGTAGAGATGTCTCCAGGGTCCTCCTTCTCCGGCCCGCTGATGATGCCTCCCGGGTCGTCTGCTGTAAGGATGTCTCCAGGGTCCTGCTCCTCCAGTCTGCTGCTTCCGAGTAGTCCACGTCTGCCCGGGCCACGTCCGTCCTGATGTCGTCCCCTGGTCCTAGTAGGTGGTTTCCCCGCCGCACACTGGCTCCCGTGGTACGAGCTGTCCCCCTTTTCTCCCAGGCAGACGGCATAAGAGGTCCGCTGGGTCACTCGGTCGGGGTCGGAGAGCCTGGGGTTGAGCCACTTTGTCCTCGTGCTTCTCGGGTCCCCCTTTTGGCGCCAGTGACCTGTGTGGAGAAATCTGATACAACTCCCTCAAGCCTACGCTCAGCTGTTTTGACCCACTTGGAGCCTCTTGGTGGGGTGTCTTGAAACAACAGCCGTCTGTGAACAGGTTTTCCAAATTAATTGTAGACCTCCTATCTGCCAGTGCAGCTTCAGAATCTTAATACTTGGATTGTGCCAACTAAATAAGAACCCCAACATCTTTAGGTAAACTAAATAACATATTTCAATAGCTCTGAATTTCTGACAAGCATCTGTGTTTATCTTTAAATGAAATCCTATTTAAAATCCAAATATAATATGAACTGCTAATGTTTCTGGTAAAGAAACACACTAATGTTATGGATTCAAAAACAACCAAAATCACGATGCTAACAAAGTGAATGATTTCCTGGTGATTCTGCTTTTACCTGTCAGTGCAAATGTCTTTCTATTATAAATTTAGATGAAATGTATATCCCTATAATGACCTAAACAATAAAGTCTATGGCTTTTACTCCTCTACCAGGCTAGTTACATGATGTTGTCTAAATTAAATTCTGTCTCAATACACTACTATGTTTTAGCTTTAACTGTAATATGTTCTTTCTACATTTCAAACCTCAGTTACTCTAATGTCTGTTAAAATATTACAAAATTGTTTAAATGTAAATTGTGAATTTTACAGCCATGTTGACATTTATACATTATACTCACTCCCCCCTTTTACACATGAAATAATGTGTAACAAAAGCCTGTAATGGGAGGGGAACAAAAACTGTCAGGTAATTGGTTAGGGACATAACGAACATTATTATCATTATTTCCACAGTGAACACTTCAGTGAAAAGAAGTGTTCCTCTCCGTCCTTCAGGCCTAAAAGAAACAGAATCTTCAGCTTTTACATTTGCAAACCGCCAACTCATGTGAGAGGAAAATATCACATGTGCGGTTTCCCCTTTTTGTGGAATTTTTAGGAAACCTCTCGTTTCCCTTGGAGCTCCAAAATAATATGTTAGTCCAAAAACATGCTTGGTTAGTTATTGTTTTAGAATCATGCAGTTACACTGATCACATGCCGGCATACATTCACACTCACACTGTCTGGTTGTCATGTCAAGTTTGGTCAGGTTCACCCCAGAGTCAGTCATCCACAGTGCCTTGTCAAGTTACACTGTCGGTCAGGGTCAAAGGTCAGTTGGTCTCCGTCTTTTTTGGCCATGTGTCGTGCTCTGCAGAGACTTTGACATTTCAGCATAGGCCAGTATCCTTTGTCTACAAAAATATGTCACGATTTCAACTATAATTTTCAAGATGATTCTCACTTGTCATTGGGACTTCCGCCTCCCACTTTTCCTGAAACTTGGTACAAAACTCACTTCCTTCGAGTACCACTACTAATTAAAATGTCTAATGATCTATTTCAGAAACTTTTGTACAATAACTATTATCTTGAGTCAAAACATTACTAGGATCTGTGTCGCTCTGCATTTCATAGCTCATTATAATTCTGGTCTACTTAAAAAACGATGTTAAACTCTTTAGCAGTGTGTGGAACCTTGGGTGTCCGAACATGCAACAATTACTCCCTCCTTTATCAAGGATTTAAAACCGAAGTCTGGTAATAACTATGCCACAATGGTGAAATCAACACTTTAGATTGGAATTTAATATGTGGCTTGGCACTAGCCATTAATACAAACAAAGATTTGTCCTATAGAGTGGTTCCTAAAACTATCCTTTTAATGGTGATCAATATTGTAACCAATGAGACCGCTACTTTATTCACACGTGAATAAAAATGTCTTAAAGAATGAATTGTTAACATGATGAAAATATTGAAGAATATGGTTCTACTCTGTCAGTGTGTTTTAGGATGATTATCATTTTACTTTAATAGTTTCCTCTTTACTGCTATTTTTAATTTACCAAATGATTAATAAATCTTTCTGTCTTTACGTATTTATGAAGTTAATTCAAGTTATTTAAATGTGCGTTTCGTGAATAAGTGTGTTTATGTGTAACTCACTCATTCCCGTTCTCCTTTTCTCCTCCCCTGGTTTTCTCAAGCCGTGACCCCGGCCTCCTCACTTCTAATCGACCATGCCAACTCCTCTGATTCTGTCTTCTCTTCAGTCCATCAGCTGTTGAATCCATCCGCTGTAACTTTTGTAGGCAGCCATTGGCCCAGTCACATCTGCAGCCCCATCATGCCACTGTTGTTGCACTCCTCCTTTACAGTCTCTCTGCTGTTTTTATGGAGGGCGGATTCTGCTCTCATGTCTATTGTGCCAAATCTCGCGGCGCAGTTTGGAACTTCATGTCCTGTTTGAGGGACCGATGAGAGTTTGCCTCTTTGTCAGCATGCTGGTTTGGTTCTGGATGCCACAGGTGGAGATAGTTCTGGCTGCAGTCTTGATGTAGTCTTGTTGTTGTTGTTGGTTCAGCTCTGGTTCTCTGTCTGTACGATGGAGAAGGAGGAGTCTCCTGTTGGGTTAGGTCTTTTATCTGCTTGGAGGGTCGGGATCAAAGCCTTTCTAACTCAGAGGGGGAGTCCAGGTCCCGGTACACATTACCTATAAGAAGTCTAGCCCACTGATGTTAAATAAATCCAACCCTTTCCACTCTGTCTCTTTCTAATCATACTATCTGTCTTAGTTGTTAAATGCCATGTAATCAACATAATTAATGTCTACTTATGATATTACAAAAACTCACTCCAAAAATTGTTTCATCCATTGCTACATATTTACCCAACACAACTCTGAAATACTTACATGTTTCCAGCATCACATATTCCACACACTATGAAAGAACATCTCCATATCTTCTCTCATTTTACATCCCACTGTTACTTCGAACAATAGTAAACCTGCAGAGCACACCAATCGGATCACAGTAATGAAATTTGAATCAAGTGTAGGCCTATGTCTTCTTTCTGAACATTTATTTATATTGTCTAAATTTGCAAACAGTTCGAGTGTAAAATGTGTTTTGCACAATGTATTTACACTCTACAGATTCTTGAGTTTACTCATCTCCTGGTGCTGTCGTTGTAAAAAATGTTCAATCCCTTATTGTTTTGTACCAGTTTACCAAAATCAGTTATAATATACTGGGAACGTGCTTCCCGTCTTCAATACCGGCCAGCAATGTAATGATTAAACTCTAAGCTCGCATAAGTTTCAAGGGTGTGATACCCCCTTTCAGCCACTAGATGGCAGCAGCAGAAGTTTCAAGGGTGTGATACCCCCTTTCAGCCACTAGATGGCAGCAGCAGAAGTTTCCAGACAAAGGGAAACGCTCTACCTTGGTTTAATATATAACAGACCTCTGGCTTTAAGCTTTTAGCATTGGTCTGTTATTTAAACCCCAGTTTTAAACGGCGACTCGATCTGATTTATCGAGTTTCCAGGTTTTGTCGTGCAGGAATCAAACCTCGCATAACAAACTGCACCATCTCTACGCCACTCAGGAATAATCTACCTGCAGATCCGCGCCAAACTGCTCTATTTTACGTCACGCAGGACTTTCGTCTACCTGTCGATCAACGTTTACGTTTTGTATATAACTTTCCTAACATAGTAAAATATGCATTGTATATTCCATTTAAACTATAAAAACACTGTGAAACGCCTACAGACAATCCTAAAGTTTTAGCGTATCCAATTACAGACAGGCGACTTTCATCGTCTGCTTACCTTATTTGCAAAGTTGCAGAGTCCTGCTGATTGTCTGAGATGTTTGAAAGCGTCTGAATTCTTCCTCAGCTTCGTTATAGACGTCGGGTCACCATTTTGTTGGAGATTTAAAGGGATATCTGATCCGCTTTTCAAATCTCCGCGCGTTCCTATGAAGCTGGTTATAATACAGGAAGGAATCCATATCTACAAAGTAACCGTTAACAATAATCTACTTTAATGGCAATATGACAATGCAATACAATCATTACAATACAACATGATATATTACAGTTATATTGTAATGCTTAAGGAGTAATGCCGGCTTACTCCTGCCCTAGTCCGCATACTGCAGAGCTACTTTCACCCGAGGGCAGCATGTGAAGAAGAGGCCGAACGCCAGGGATCCACCGGATATATACCAGAGTAAGAAGGAGGGGTTTGGTGTTAGGTCAGCTGGTCATCTTTTCAGGTCATCTCATTGGGAGACGCAACGCAGCAGGAAACGCAGCAGGAAACCAAACAGGCTCACTTTCCAACAAAAGGTCTCAAGGCCTGCATACCTACACCTCCCCCACAGAGCAATAAAACCCTGTTTACTCCAACCAGCCCAGAATGTTTATAGCCATTTGTAGTCCTTACATTTATGAAAGGATAAAACAGAGAAATCAATATAAAACACAAACACAGGTATTGTTTGAACAGTATTCACTTAACTGCTACTGTTGATAAGCACCAGAGAACCCAAGAGACCTCTCTTAATAGCACAACCACTGTAGCTCGTTCTAAGTTGAATGCAAATCAGGACATGCTCTCACCTTCCCCCATCTTCCTTTGTCCTCAAAAAACACATGTCAACAGGCCCCAAATGCAGCTCACAGTTTTACCCAAATTATTCTCATTTTAAGCTTATCCATAGTTTGCTAACATGAATAAATACAAATATAACTCTACAATACTTACAGGTTGTGTACCTGAATCTCCCGCTGGTCCGAACAAAGTAGGAACAGCATCGCTCTTCAGTGCCCTACGCTGTGCATATCCGGCATGAATCCTGAAAGGTTTGGGAAGCTTTGTTCCGTGAAAGGCTGGCAGAGGGTGCGGCCATAGCTCTGGGCGTGGCTACTGGGTATCTCTACGTAGTGATACCCAGGAAGTAAATGAGAAATCTCCAACGAGGTGTTTTGGGGAGGTATTTTCTGTGTTAGATTTGTACTCGCTACATGGTGTACTTTGAGGGTTTTTGACTCTGCAGACCGTTACATGCATAAAAAGCTACATAACACACAAGGGGACGGGTAATAACCGGAAAAGCATGACATGGGACCTTTAAGATATTCATTGCTATCAGGATGTTAAGAGCATTTCATGGAATATAACAAAAAGTGTATCTTGACTCGAGCCGGTTTCTCTAACTTACCTACCCCACCTTTAAGCCATGGTTGTGTACTTATTTGTCTTAATTTTGTAATTTCGATACTGTGATTTTCTTCTCTATATTTAACAAGTTAGCTTACTTTTTGTATTGCTTGCCTTTCTTACTGCTCTGCCACTCTTGCTGTAACGCTGTACATTTTCCCGGTGTGGATTAATTAAGGGATTTTGATTCTGATAATAACTGAAGTTGTATCTTGTTATTTGTGATTCCGCTCCGTCTCCTCTCTGGTTGTTTTTCCACAGCCACCCTGTATTACTTTACTAATTTGGTTCCTCCCTTTTTGTCTTGCATTGTGCTAACAAAGGTCATTCCTCCACGCGTTGTACAAACCTTTTTGATGTATTGACATTCACTTCATCTCTTTTCTCTTTTACAGACCATAAACCCCCTTCCTCCTATCCACCAGCCTCAGATCTCTCATCCAGACCACCCCCCCCACCTTTACCCCATTGCCCACCACCACATCATCCTCCTCCCATGGACCTCCCCACCTCCAGCTCCCTGCTGTCCAGTGAAGGCTATCAGAAGCTCCAGTCCATGATGAGGACAGAGGCCTCCTGTTACACCACTGCCCCCCCGGCCTGTGGTCCACCACTGGGCTTCCACCACTTCCCCCCTGGCACCACCCCCTTCCACACCCCCCCACTCTCAGCCTATAGCTACCTGCTGGCTCCTCCTCCCTCAGTCATTGGGATGGCACCTATTTTAAATAGTGGGTACCCCCCCCCACCAACAACTGCTGGACACAATCAGCTGCCTCCTGGGATGCCCCCAGTCAGTGGGCTGAGTCGGGGTACCTGGATGAGATGAGGATCACTAAAATCCCTGTAAAGGCAGCTTTAGTGATATGAATGCTCTGTGTTAAACAAGACATGGAGGATTGTAAAATACATGTGTTGCTTTAGCTCTCTTTTTTGAACATTATGTCATTACATTCTGTCATGTTTTAATGTAGACAGTTTACACATCTGTTTTATCTTCTAAAATGTCTATAATCGCCTGGTGTCCTATTGACATATTTTGGATGTTCAATAGCACAAGACTTTCACTGTTATCTTTCCATACGCCTAATTAAGAGAACGCAGTACTGTAACAACAGCTTTCCCCCTATGTTCTGTCTGTAAACGGCTTTGCATTTAACAACTGCCAATTCAATTCAAACAGATTAGTTTCCTTTGTCAAATATCTTTCTACTGGTATATGATGAAAAGGAAACTCTGGAAAAGATAATTTTTGTAAGGATGTAATGTTGTGAATACATAGGCACACTTTTTCGAAAATGCTTCTATTTAAACTTGTTTTTTGTTCATAATAAAAACCTGAAAAACCAGTAGCTGAAGATACAATATTTTTTTTAAAAATCCTGTTAATGTAGTAGATATATATGATGTAGTCTCTATAGGTCAGTTATATATAGGGATGGGTATCGTTTGAAATTTATCGATTCCGGTTCTGCTTATGGATTCCAGTTCTTATCGATTCCCCGTTTAAATTGTAAAAGAAAGAGGTCAAACGTTTAGATAACAAAAATATCTTTATTCTTTTAAGCTTTAACTGACATTTTTACAAATAAAAAAAAATACATCCAATACAAATGTATTGCATAATAGCTGTGCTTTATTTTAACTGAGCTATGCCTGTGGCAAGCAATTAGCAGGCATTACACTGTGCCTTGTCTTTTTCTTTTTTAGTGTAGTGGAGCCTCACTTCAGAGCGTTTACCGCGACCCATCTTTGGTGTTATGAAGTGACTGAGCTCGTGAACTGTCTACGGGAGGGCGGGGGAGCCTCGCTGCAGGGGCGGGGCAACTGTGGACCTCTGTCGCTGATGCCGTTTAAAAAAATTAAGGGTGGTGCCGGCGTCAGCGTATCGAGCCGGCTGTCAACGGCCCGCTGACGACCGGCCGTTCTGTGATTCTCTGAACCCAGGGCTCGCTACAATACTGTATACACAAACTATACAAAAACGCCTTTACGCTTTGGAGCTTGTTTATCCATCTGTAAGCAACTGCCAGCTAGGTCTCTCAGTCACTCACTCCTGATCGTACACTGCACAGTGACAGCTGCTACGGGCCTGATGTGTGAAAGTGAAACTATCTGATAGATAGAACATAGGTAGCCTATCAAAACGGCCCAGCCCATGGGGTGTGGGCCACACCCCTCCAGGGAGTGTGGAGTAACACTTACAAATGTGGGCCAGTAGGATTTAGGCAAAGAAAAAAAAAAAACATTTTTTTTTTTGGCCCTCCGGCCCACGCACAGCACCGGCCCACCGGGAAAACTCCCGGTATTCCCAATGGCCAGTCCGCCCCTGCTCCATCCCATATACCTCCTTTAATTTGAGTTTCCATTGTGCCAGTGTAGGTGGTTGTGGCTTCCTCCAGTTCAATGTGACAATTTTCCTAGCAGTCATCAGGAGTAGATGCAACAGGTAGCCTACTTCTGGTTTCTATTACATACATCCTCTGCAACCAGATCAAGTATTTAAAGTGACTAGGGTTGAGCGGTAGATCAATTCCCATAATTCTGTCTATCTCCTCCTTTACCCCATGCCAGAAAGAGACCATCTTTGGGCAGTCCCAGAGAGAGGGGTCTGCCTTCAGACCTTCACTCTCAGGACAGTTCCGGTGCAGACCTCCACTCAGGACACCTCCACTCTCAGGACAGGAAGTGCACGCTAAGAATTCCAAAATAAAATCACCACTATCAGTACAGTGCCACTTTCCAAACAAGAAATGCACGCAAATACAAAATAAAATCGGATCGTGACGGATCGTGACACTTATTATATACATATGTATATATATATAGATATATACGGACACCTTGTATTGTTGTTACTATCAGTACAGCCGCAGCGCCACTTTCCGAACAGGAAATGCACGCAAATACAAAATAAAATCCTACTGACACTTATTATCTATATATATATATATATATAATTTATATATATTAGGGGTGTAACGGTTCACAGAAGTCACGGTTCGGTTCGTACCTCGGTTTGGGGGTCACGGTTCGGTACGGTTCGGTACAACAAGAAAAAGCAAAAAAAAAGTCCCAAATGCATAATTCCAGGTTTGTTGTTATTTATGTTTGAACAGTAGTGCAAGTTTCAGTTGTTTTTTTTAAATAACTCTTTTTTGAATAATTAACTGTATTAAACAGTTAAAAACAAACCTTACACAGTACACTCAGATGGCCATATTATCTATAATGGCTGATGTCAAACAAAAAGGTTTCATCAAGCTGTAAAGCTAAAAATAATGTCTTGAAAATATGACATCATAAATAATAAGAAAGTGTTTCAAGAGTGCAAAGTCGTTGAAAAACATATGCCAAAAGCTTCCGTTATTTATTTTTGGTCTCATGGCGGGGATCAGCTGTTGAACTGCTGCTGTCACTGTAGAACAACGGCGACACACCGTCCTCGTCCGATCCACCACTCGCACACTTCATCCTTATTGTAGTCCACAGGGAACCCGAAATGTTCCCACACAGCTGATTTAAAAGAAGCAGGTGGGTTCTAGCTCCTGTGTGTTTTCTGAAATCGCCATACTAACTTTTCTTCTTCTTGTATTTTGTTCGTTTTGTTGTTGTGTTTCTTCTTGTTCTTCATTTGTTGTTTAAGGGCGGCTGGCAAACAGCTTTTAGGCGCAATACCGCCCCCTGGACTATAAATAGTGTAGTGGATACTGCCCTGAATGATGCTTTTTTCCCACTCGTAAAAAAAATGCGTATTCGTCGTGTGACTGTGTGTGCCGAACCGTGACGTCCGAACCGTGACGGTACGGGACGAATACGGATACCGTTACACCCCTAATATATATATATATAAATACATCTTGTATTTTAGTTACACCCGCTAGACAACAGTGGAAGGTTCGAGAAACAACCGTGTTTGCCGGGTGCACCGCGGCGGAGGTTCCAGCTGGGAACCTCCACCCCGCTGCGGGACCCCTGGACGGTGCGTCTTGATCACGCTTCATATCGGCCGGCCCGGGAAGGAAGAGACACGCAGAGTGGGGGAAGTCCCCCACCCCAACGCAGCACACCCTCCCGTTCATCAGAGTCGAACCCGCAGTTCGGAGGACCCGACCGCCAGAGCACCGGCACTAGGCCGGGCCGGCGTGGAGGCCCTCCGACAGTGGGTCGCGTTTGCCTTTCGACCAGTGAGAGGAGAGGAGAAATATGCAACAAAAATTGTCAAAATCCGTTAATATATGGATGAGTGGGGGGGGGCTAGACACAGGCCATGGGGGGACACCCGAGACCAGGCAATGTCCCCGGTAGAAACCGGGTGAAATAGCCAAAGAAATAATAAAACCGGGGAAAAGTGAAAAAAAGTGTCCGAAAATAGGCACTCGTGAGGCGGGCAGAGTCCCCTGTCAACTCCCGTTACATTCCTCCATGGTGTTATTTGAGCGGGGGGGTCAAAAGGGCTTGACCAAGGCCGACCCAAAGTGCACGGTGGGCGGACTCATCACCTCCGTGATGAGTCTCCAATAGCCGCTTTCACACCGCAGGACTTGCCGTACTTTAGTGCCGGCACTAAAGTACCACAGCACTGAATCCGCCAGGGGGCTAGTGCCAATCGCATTCACACCGCAGTACTTTCCCTGAGGCAAGATTACGCTGACGTCACTTCGTCTTCTTCTTCTCTGGGTTTACTGGCAGGCCACAAAACCACTTCACGGCGAGTACAAAAAAAAACGAGAGAAGAAGAACTACACGGGGGAGGGGGTATAAAGCCCACCCGCTGTATGAGGCGTTTGTTTACTTTCCGACCTCAGACATGATGGAGTTCATAAGGGTAATTTACAAATAAAATACCCCATTATAACAATGGACTTTATCTTTATGTATTTATTATATATTACCCCCTCAGGCTGATTTTGGAAAAGGACATTAACACTTGTTTGGTGTTTTCCCCTTATTTATCTAAAACAAATGACATGATAAATTACTTGTGTTTATGTGTGTAAGACTTGTGTTTCTGCCCCTGCCATTGCTGCACAAGGTTGCAACATTGTAGATACATTCAACCACAGACACCTGTCTGCTCTCACATTCTTCTATTCTGCAAATTTGGGGTGGGACACAATAAATAAAGCTTCGCCAGTTTGTTTGTTTTATTGCACAGTCAAGACATAACAATAACGGCATCACGCTGTTCCAGGTGTGTCGTATGCATGTAAATTGAAGTTAAATAAAAGTGTGAAATGTAAAATAAAGTGTAAGTAGTTTCAAAACAATGTAACAGTGGCAATATATATATATATATATATATATATATATATATATATATATATATAATAACAATAGAAAATCGTTACCACTCTTATTATTGTGGTCTTTAATTTTGTTATAGTCCTGCCTGAGTTTCTTTATTTTTACCCGGCATCCGTGTGCACTGTGCACGATTCCCAGCTCAAGTAGCTTTTGCGAACATCGCTCAAAACATTTGGAGTTGGGAACTGCTTTCTGTAGAAGCTGCTGCATCCCGTCCTCAGAGTAAATTGCCAGAAGCGCCGACGCTTCCTCATCATTCCACCGCTCCGGTGTTGCAGTACGTGTGGTCATAACTGCTTTATAGTACAAAAAAACTACTCGCTCAGGTGTGGATGTGGTTTTGTAGCGAGGAAAAAAATGGCTGCCTAACAAAAAAAATTCAGAGTCTAACGGGGCGTGGTTTGCAATTCGCCCAGCCAATAGAAATAGAATAGAAATTGGCACTCTTTTATCACCAGGTTCGTACCACCTCTCTAGCAGGGACTGAAAATGGCCAAAAGAGTTCCCGGCACTGAGTAGTCCCGGCAGTGTGAACTCGACATTATTGGTACTAACGGAACTAAAGAACGAAAGTACCAGGGAAAGTCCTGCGGTGTGAATGCGGCTATTGTGATTTGAAAACTTCCATCAAACGAGTCCTTCGGTGGGCGGGAAAGAAAACGCGACAGAATCGTCACTTCCTGTCCTGAGAGTGGAGGTCTGCAGGCAGGCTCCCATGGTCCCAGAATATGTGTTAAAGTAAACCGATATTGTTCTAAACTGTATTAAAGTAAACGGGTATTATCTTGAACTGTATTGAAGTAAACATGTATTATTTTGGACTGTTTTAACTAATCCTATATATATATAACCTTCTCACTTACACTCAATGACCCAGATACCAGCACACACACACATACACCTCCTCCCACCAGCACACACACATATTCTTTTCAAGGTTCTTTCTGGGGCAAATATAATCTCAAGAACCAATATATCTGTGTACAATGTTTGATTGTCTCGGAAGGAATAGTTTGTGTGAAATATTCCTTGGGAAAGTAAA